AATGTATCGAATATTGATTTGCTTTGGACCCTTGAATCATCACAATGAATAGAATGGCGATCAATATCTTTTTCCAATGCTATCTTGGGCTTCGTTTGTCATTGTTGTGGACTGGTCGTTGTTCAGTCTCGGCACTTGACAATATTGGAATTAAATGATGCGTAAATCTCTTGATCGGGCCTCCTTCTGCTCTCTTTATAGTAACCACTCTAACAGCTGGGATGCTGCAACCAGACAAGGCACTTGCCACAGCGGGAAGGAATGTATGTGTAGGTGCTGTAGACACCGGTCTAAGCGTTAACCCCGAAGGGCGCGAATGTATATGTATATTTGAATATTAATAGGATGTAGAAAGGAGTGCATAACCAGACAAGGCACTTGCTATACTAGGAACGGGATGCTGTAACCAGACAAGGCACTTGCTACAGCAAGGAAGGGATGTAGGTATTTTTGTGTGGGTGTTTAGACCGGTGTCTAAGCGTTAACCCCGAAGGGCGCGAGTGTATGTGTATAGGTTAAAGGATAGGAATGAAGGGAGAACTGTTGCGGAGGGCTGGTTTTCAACCTTTTATATAGACTTTGCTTTTATCTTCTTTTTGCTCGAAGGGCCAATGTAAATTCCTGTCTTGGAATTCAGGCGGCTGCTCGGAACACTTAGTAGTTTGTTGATTGTAGCTTGTAGGTTGGGTTAGTACACCCGGGAAGTTTGGTATTGGGGAGGGTAAAACCACTGTTGGATTAATACTGACTTTTATTAAACAATTAACAACTATTTATATACAAAAAATGCAACTTTAACAAACGTCATGAACAATGGTAATTAATTAAAAGAATAAATTGCTGACAAAATTCTGCTGTATGCTCCACATTGAAGGATTTGGTAATTAGACTTTTGATGACGCTGCGTCTGTTTTAGATCGTATGTTTCCTGGTGACCTACTGGCGGTGTGTAGTCTTGATGACCTAGACGCTAATAGTTAATTGAATTTTGTAATGATTTTGATAAATATAATTTAAGGTTTTTTATGACTAAATTTTGAATTTAGACAGTCAGAGATTCCTAGAGAAGTAATTGTCTCAACAGGGTCCTTATTCTTCAAACAGGGGAGCAGACTTCCCAGAAGAATGAGTGTTCCGTCTTTCTCAACAATATGCAACTGATAATATAGGTAGCAAAGACGGAATACTCGTTCTCCTGGGAACGCTGCTCCCCTGTTTCAAGAATAAGGACCCAGCTATGCCTTTTAATGATAGGCGACAGTGGTGGAACTTTTTGACAGGTGTAAGCTTACTATTATTATCGTGTATTGAAGAATCAAAAGTTTCTCTAAAGAAAAGCCATTGATCATTATGATCCGACGAATGTGCCCAAATTAATTGGTGGTAGTTCAATATTGATTAAATCATCATCGCTACACGAGAGGTTAAATGATAGGTTGCTTGTATTTCCCACATTCGGCGCTGTCTGTCTCGGTGTTTGAGCATCAAGATTTTCCATCGATGTTCAGCAGATATATATTCGGTTTCGAAGGACCAATATGGTGGGTTCGATTCATATTATTTGCATTCCACGTATAACTTGCAAGAAACTCAAGGAAGTAAAAAATATTGTAATATAATATACCCGGGTTCGTTCAGCAAGATTGAACGATTAGAATTTATTAAAAATTTACTAAAAAACAAATAGGACCTACGTTGTCGAAACTCACTCAATTTCACTTACTTGACATGCGCCCGACAATAGCGAAATTAGGGAAATTTAAGGGAAGTTGTGATAAGTAAAATAAACGAAAAATTTGGGAAACGCGTAATTTATTATTTAAAGAAAATCGTACCGTCCTCAGCCTGGAACTCACGAAGGGAAAGAGCACGTCAAAGAAACCCTCGATCTACATTCCTCAAAAATCAAAACATACTGTGTCATTTCAATTATTAATTGTAATTGTCAGTCAATAATGGTTTTAAATTAGGTAACGTCCCTGTCCTTGTGCTAAAATTTCAATTCCACACACTACATTCAATCAACACCACCTATATTCAATACTGAAGAGTTTTTGGTTAGTTAGCCAGTCTGCCAGCAGGTACTGAGGTCCTATTCGGGAGGCTACTCAGCTCTAGTTGTTATTTTGAGCTAATATCTCTAGATTGATTTTTTCAATTTGTTTGCTAGGATATTCGCTCGTCAGAGTAGGAGAGTATTAGTGGATTCAACAAGGCCCCAATGCACGTTGTGAATACCAAAAATCAAAATCCCAGCACAAAAGACGGCACATAATTTCTTTAGGCTATAATTTACTTTCATGTTTCTCTCAAAATAAAATAAAATTCATTCAACTGACCTGTAAATGCTCTTTATGACACACAAACTAATCACAAACTTGATTGAATAATCAGTTGATTACAAAATAAAAATTGAATATTGAACTATGGCGGACAAGCGGTCTAAGGGACAAGCTTCTTCTCTAGTCTCTCATTTTCCTCTATCTACCCTTCGGTACATGTCTGTGGCGCGCCCCCGTTCCCATAAATATCACAGCGCATACATGGTTGCAACATTTACCATTTGCTTTTCTATAATACACATTTTCTTAGAAAATTTAAGATTTGAAGAAATAATATTTTAAATAGGTGGTTTTCCTCAATATACATAAAAAAAACAGCCTCTGGCAATTGTCATACTCTTCGTTTTTCTAGTGCGGTCGAGGCGCAAATTGCAGAGCCAGCGCGATGAAGAGCGCTCTCGATTGGAGGATGAGTCGTGGTAAGACGATATTAGACAGAGCCGACTACGCGATATTGAACAAACGTTTCAGACCCTATACTATTTACTACACAGCGGTAATTCTATCGAGTTGAAAATCGGTTGCTTTCTAGTACGATTAGTTCCAGAATGTCCTCATGACACAAATGGTTGAACAATTCCAGAAGATACAAGTAAAATGAAGACAGGGTCTCCATCTATTTTCTGATCGGCACACTAAAAATTGCTACTAACAACCGTATAAACCAGTATTAAATTAGAGCAAATCGACTCGCAAAGGCATTCGCCACAATTGCGAGAATAGCTATTCTAGTTGCCAACCAGAAGTAAAGTCGGTTGGTACCGAAAAACATTGATATTAATTAGGTAACGGCCCAATTAAGGACCGATTGAGAAGTGTTTTATCTCTGCAAGACCATCCGTGGACGCGTTTCGCTGTATCACAGCTCATCAGCACGGTTTAGGTCCCGCAGAGAGAAAACACAACCCATTTTTGGTTCCATCCCGGAACTGGGTTTAATACAAGTAAAATGAAGACAGGGTCTCCATCTATTTTCTGATCGGCACACTAAAAATTGCTACTAACCTAAAATAGATGGAGACCCTGTCTTCATTTTACTTGTATTAAACCCAGTTCCGGGATGGAACCAAAAATGGGTTGTGTTTTCTCTCTGCGGGACCTAAACCGTGCTGATGAGCTGTGATACAGCGAAACGCGTCCACGGATGGTCTTGCAGAGATAAAACACTTCTCAATCGGTCCTTAATTGGGCCGTTACCTAATTAATTCCAGAAGAGTTCCAAGATAAACTTTTTTATCGTTTGGAATAAAAGTTGAACTTTCAAACTGAATGTCTTCGTCATTCACATCACGCATATACAGGGTGTCCCACGGTGGATGGCGTATTAGACGTTAATGGAAAACTAAGAAGCGCATCATTTTGAAAATTTGGCAACCGGGATAAACGACCATAATCTACACTTTAAAAGTATTTTTGCTTGTGCGGTGTTGTCGCTTCTACTCTAAACCAGTGGCAGCATCGCTATTTTAAATGGAATACCCTGTATGTGATTGCATATTTGGATTCTACGTAAATTTCTGAGTAGATTTCATGTGATATACCCTATATCTAAGTTCAACTGTTTTGGAAATATTGACAGTTGAAAACTGACTTTTTGCAACTTTGACAGGCTGTAAAACCTAAACGGTTAATTTTAGAGAAAAACCTATTTTACATTCCTGTCTTAGATTTTCATAAACTATCATTTGACACCAACTTTGAATTTAATCGGTGATTAAATTTATTTGGTATTTTTAATCATGGATTAAATTCAAAGTTGGTGTCAGATGATAGTTTATAAAAATCTAAGACAGGAATGTAAAATCGGTTTTCCTCTAAAATTAAGCGTTCGGGTTTTACAGCCTGTCAAACTTGCGAAAAGTCAATTTTCAACTGTCAATATTTTCAAACCAGTTGAACTTAGGTATAGGGTACCTTATAAGTATTATATGAAATCTGCTCAGAATTTTACGTAGAATCCAAATATGCAATCACATACAGGGTGTTCTATTAAAAATAGTGATGTTGCCACTGGTTTAGAGTAAAAGCGGGAACACCGCATAAACAAAAATATTTCTAAAGTGTAGATCATGGTTGTTTATCCCCGTTGCCAAATTTTCAAAATGATCCGCTTTTTAGTACTCCATAAACGTCTAATACGCCATCCACCGTGGGACACCCTGTATATTTCCACAGCGCTCTATGTTGATTTTCTGGCAAATTGTTCAGGTTAATGAGATTTTTATCATCTGTTTGATTTGCTTCATGCTGAATAATTATCTGGAGAAAGAATAGCCAAGGATTGCCAAAGCTTTATTCAAGGAGAAGTAACTAAAATAAATAATAGCTACTCTGCAAAAAGAAATAGGCACCTAATTTCTTCTTATAATAGAAAAATCAGATAACAAGTTGAAAACTGATTCAGAATAATGTTCGATGAGTTAGCTACCTAAATTCCCACTGCACTACGTACCCATAGTACAATTACAAACCAAGGCGATAAAATAGCATCTAATGATTCCCTTACATATTTTGTAGGTATATTTTTCTTATATTATTAAATTTATTATTTTGACAATGCAATAGGAAACACAAATATATTTTCAGTTTACATGGACATTTCTCAACTGACGCTATTTTTCTTTTTTTGGTATCCAGGATATAGTCTTGCCGCACAACATGTCCAATCGGATTATACACAGCAACCAGAGCCTGGTACTGCAAAAAGTCACGAAACAGAGTGCGGGAGTCTACAGGTGTTCAGTTGTCAATTCCGAAGGCGAAACTGTCAGCGACGAGCTGCACTTCCGAGTCCAATGTAAGTAGGATTCTATTGGAAGCGAGTTGAATAAATATTATGTTTAATAGTAAATTTAAAAAAAAATTGAGTGATATAGGGCACTTTTCTTCAGTAGTGGAAAAGCTTCGTGTAACACCACCGAGTGCTCTTTTGGTTAATAGATTTTTTTACATGTTTCCTTGAACTCAATATCTTCAACCCTAAGTAAAGAACTAGGTAAAGTGCGACAAGTGAGTGAACCTTGGTAACGTATGAAGTAGCAGAGGGGAAAACGAAAACCTATACTATACGACGCGACGGGTCCCCGACGTGGTGCATTGCGAAAATTGCGTTTACCCTGACGCGACGACCCGCGTATATGTATATTTAATCTGGGGCCAATCAGGAGGGTTTTGCCCGCATTCCTTCCACGCCGGTTCACTCACTTGTCGCACTTTAGTTCACGTGTTGAAAATGCTAAAATAATGTCATACGAAACTTTTCAGGTTGAATACTGAGCAAGCAAAGTAATGTTTTATTATGAACGGCAACGGCGTGGAATGACGTTTTTAGCCTAGAATTCATCATGAAATAGTGATTCGGAAATTTTCAATGAGTTAGCTACCTAAATTCCCACTCTACTAAGTAGCTATAGTACACCTACAAATAAAGGCGATAAATTAGTATCTAATAGTTCCTTAACATAATTTGTATATTTCTTTTACATTATTTAATATTTTGATAATGCAATAGGAAACACAAATATATTTGCAGTTTATGTTTCACGGACAGAAATGACTTATCTATCAAAATGAACTATGCAGTGAAAACTTAACGATACATCATAGGCTTGATTGTTTTTGTAACCACACACCCCTCGATGCTCGGAATCAATATTTTTGTCCACTGCGCCTGATCAGTCGTTTGGTCCCAGGTTTTCTGCCATTTGCTCAGTGTCTTCCGTATGGCTTATCCTCGTGTTTCCGCTGTGGATCGATTTTCCATGTTTTCCAGTTGGGCCCCGTCTCGTCGATAATTAGTGTTCTGGGTGGAATACCTGTGATCACTTGAACAGTCTCCGTGGAAATAATCTTATGACCCATCCACACTTGTAGGAGAGCTCTTCTTTTTAAGCTCAATAGCATTTTCTTGTACTGTCATAGGGTAGTAATCCCGCCACAATTTGAGGATCCATATAGTATGGAGGACTCAATCTGATGCTAATTTCTTCGAGGCTTTTTCGGTGACCTCTTTCACATGCTGGACAAATTAGCAGTTCTCGATTATGGACACCTCCTGTTATGTTGCGTCTGTATCTGCGGCCGTTCAATATTATATCATTGCCTCAGTTTTTTTCGGCGCCACTTCCAGGTGGTTGTCGTCCATCCAGGCCTTTTTTTTCCTTGTACGTCATTGGTATTTAATATAAGGCCTTTCGTATTGTTAGGACTTACCACTAGGTCTAGGTTATCAGTGAAACTTCTTGTTCACTTCAATGTTACCACCGGATCGTCGAATGAGTTCCACAATGTTGGGCCGATTGGAATGCCCGATGAGAAGCCTCTAATGGCCATTTGCACCGACCATTTTAAGGGAAGCCTAACGATAAGTGTTCCTTATGTACATGTGAAAATGTCATTTTAAGGTATCCTTATCGTTAAGCCTCCCTCAAAATAGTCGGTGCAAACGGCCATTAGATCTTTTTCCCACCGCTCATTTTTGTCTCGTTAAATTAATCCAGTATTATATTTCCGAGGTATTCCGATATTCCTCGGTTGCATAGTTCCTTCACTATTGCTACCCACGATGCCAAGTTGAATGCATGTTTTACATCTATGGTGATGGTCCCACACCATCTCTCTTTCGCTGCTACGCCATCGTGTGTTCTCAGTTTACTGCAGGCTTCTTGTAGTTCCGCCGTGTTAATCCTAGGGGGTACTCTCGCATATATGCGGGTAGGCAGGGCCTCATAACTCGCTGGAAGCAGGGCTTCAGTCACAGCGTTTTCCCGTTCGTCTGTCAGCTTGAATAGTTTTTCAGATTTTAGACTTTTCTCAACAAGTTTGTACCCGTATTCCCAGATTTTTTGTTGAGCTCGTCGCATACCTGTTCTCATTGTTTCTTTTTTTCCGTTTGTATGTTCTTTTCCAATTCTTTTCTCTTTATCTTATATACAGCGTAGAGCGTAGGCTCTCTCCGTGATGTGTCGTTGGCCTTATTTGGCGCATGCTTTTATTCCATCAGTATAGGGCTATGTGTTTCATGCCTGTAGTTTAGAAGACTGATTCTGCTGACTTGTAAATCCTCTCCGTTACCACCATCAACTCTTCGGGGGTGTGGGAGATGTGAGCCATCTGGCGTAATCCGCCGTTCACTATTTGTTTTAGCCCAGGCCTCAAGCTGCTGATACGGATAAGCACTGTCATTGGTTTTTTCCTGTCATTGATATCACATCATCCTGTGAGGAGAAAGGTTCATTATCTAGAATCTCTCACTTTTCCTGAGAAAGTTGAGGATGCAAAGGTCCGGTCTATCCACGATCTCTGGTAACCTCTAACGAGTGTCGGGTTGTTTCCCCTGAATTGGACGATTAGTCCTAGTGCCGCTACGGCTTCCTGTAGAAGTTGGCCTTATGTAGGTATCTTATATTTTTCAAGTTTTAAACATATTACTCCTAGATATCTTTCTACACCAATGGTATTTATATTTCGATTTCTTGTGTAAAACGCCACATAACCATTTGTATCGGACACCCATCTCGTTCTTAGGATGATATCTAATATCTAAAGACCAATAATCGAAAGACAAATAATCGAATGGACAAATGATGGAAGGGCCAAATGATCGAATGGACCAATTATTGAATTGACAAATGATCGACGAGGCATACGATTGTATCATGTCTCACAAATAAATCGGTGAAGCAAATCCACTCAAACCCCATTTTATAGCTTACTTTTCTCCATAAGTTATAAAAAATTGAGTGAAAAAAGGGCAAAAAGGAGGAATAGTGAAGCGAAGAAAAGCCGAAAATATTCAAAGCTTGAACTGCCATATCTCAAATTCCAAAGGAGTTTGAAATTTTATTTTAAATTATCAAGTAAAGAAAACATTTCAAGCTCAAGACGCATTTTCAAAAGTCGATACTTGACTTGTGATAAACGAGTGCAATTTTATTACCCTATTGCTTAATCTGTAAGATGGGGTCTATTTAAACTAAGCTAGCTCATAGTTATTCTAACTGTTTTAGATGCTCCAACATGCAAAAATGACAAAATCGTCATTGTAGGGGCTTCACGAGGTGAAAACATTGACGTCGTCTGCGAAATTGAATCGGATCCACCAGCGAAGGTACCTACCTTAAGTGTCTAGTATAATTTTTTTTTTTAATAAAAGTATTACCAGTAGAGTAGACTTCTTGTTTTCAATTTATTTTATTCAAAAATCAGCAGCAAAGATGCACTTGGTGTCAATTTTTCAAAATAATACGAATATTTTCAACAGAGTTATAAGTGGAAATTCAACAATTCAGGGGAAACTTTAGAGCTCGAACCGGAACGTTTTTCGAAAACTAGTAACGGCAGCTCAAGCATCCTGAAGTATACTCCTGTTACTGAACTGGATTACGGCTCACTGTCCTGCTGGGCTTCCAATATACTTGGCCATCAGGTTAATCCATGCCTATTTCAAGTCGTTGCAGCAGGTATAGGACCGATTTTTTGTTCAAAATCATCATTTTATTATACCTACTAAAAATTATAGGTAAACCGTTCCCAGTAAAAAACTGTACATTAACCAACCAAACCAGCAATTCAGTAGAAGTCTATTGCCAGCCGGGCTTTGATGGAGGCCTGCCTCAACATTTTTTACTGGAACTGCATACTGTCAACTCATTAGTACCTCAATATAACGTCACATCATATTCCGAACCCTATTTCTTCTTGGAACATTTAGAAACAGATGTTACTTTCAAAATCATGGTGTTTGCTGTGAATTCTAAAGGCAGAAGCGTCGCCGTGATTCTGGAAGAAATCACGTTGAAGGAAAAAAGAGCTGGTACTCAACTATAATCCTAATAAATCCTATTTGTGGCATAATTTTTAATCCTGTTTAATTATAAGCTTAGTTCATAGTCATAGGTATAGCGATTACAAAAGCGCTAAGCACTATTTTATGATAGCAAGTATGCAGAGCTGGGAAGTAAACGATTACTACCTATATAGTTGATTACAATTGTTGCAATTAGCAATTATGGCTGATTACTTTTCTCAAATGTAAATTAGTAGTTATATCAAGCGATAACAATTTTCGAATAATTTGTTATCATGATCAAAACGGAATTATTCACAACTGCTTTTAGTAATCGTTATTACTCAAAGGAATAATCGCCTCGCCTACCATCATCTGCTTCAGTGGAACTCATGATTTTCACTTGCATTATAAACCCTCCAAGACGATGTAATTCACTTACTGCTAATAACATTACGTATGTCATAATAGAAGCAAATATATCCTCTAGTTTCTTTGAATAGTTTTGAATAGCCAAGAATATAAGTAGATAGTATTTTTTTCTGCTTTACTGTGTCTTAGGTTCTCACAACAGAAACCTGCGGTCTGGAAATACACATAGAAAGTTAGTGAGTTTCCTTTGTTTCATTATATATATTTTTATTTTTTATTAATCAGTTACTGAGCTGCATTTTGTTGCTCAGTCGAAGTAAAACCTAACTTTCAATTACAGCTATATTGTCAGGGCCAACAATATTTATTTTCAAATTATTTGACTACAAAATTCACTCATCGCCTATACTTAACTCCATACAACATTTCTCGTATTTAAACTGACTGAAAAATCACGTGAAAGCTTGTCTATTTAAATCACATAATGGAATTACTGAATATTCGCGCTCGGGACTTGAACAGCGACGCCCAGCTTCTTTGCAGCGATGTAGCTTCTTGGCAATATTGCAGGTCATTATCATCAAAATTATACTTCTGGTTTTCCTAAACAAGTAGGAAGCTAATCACAATTCTAATCATTCATCTATGACGGTTAATTTACGGTTTCAAAGGTAAACGCAAGGCGATCAAGAAAATCCTTGCTGTCAGGAGTACTTACCTATGAAATTTGGACACTTTTCGCGAAAAGTAATCAGTAAACTGATTATTTTTCGTGGTGTAATCGTCTTAGCTCTGCAAGCGTTAAATATTTTCATATTGCATTAGAAACCACATGGGTGCTATAATAATACATATGTCTTACCGCACGTCCAATGTCCAAAATTTCATGTATGTACCTACTAAGTAATGAGCTTTAACCAGCTCTTTGGCTTGGCGGGAGGATGTGGAAGGACTTTCTCAGGCTTGCATGATGTCGGTGGAGTCTGAATGGCCGACCATGGATTGCGAATCGGACCATCTTAGGGTGGGGGATACATGATAAGTCCGACCATTTAGACTCTAGTATGAATGGGAAGGAGTAGAGTCCATGCATGCCGCTTCTCGAGCGTGATAGGACATTTCCTTGCGAGTGCGCATATCCGTAAAAAAAAAAAAAAAAAATGCAAATGATGTACAATAAGCCAGAATGAGCTTCAGTGCAGAGCGTGGGCTCGAAAGGGTGAAAAAAAAATAATGAGCTCTCAACCCAAAAATCTTACTTAACAACATTAACTATTTTACTGATCTTTTTTCCTAGCTCTTGATGGTGATTTAGGATTTTCGCCAATGCTGGGCATACTCGTAGGTACTGCAGTGACTGTATTAGCGATCGTAGCGATCATAATAATACGAGTTAAACGGTCGCAAAGTAATCTGCAAGTTGATTTAGAAGAAAAAGTACCCAGCGTTACAGGACAATGTAACACTACATCTTCTACGAAGCCACTGCTACGAAGTGTATCGCCTAAGGAATCCGACGAAAAGGATCCGGACATTATCCCGACAAAATATGGTAGGTGATTCACAGCTATTTGCATGGGTATTACTTAAAAGTTAAACTTAGTTAATGTGAAGCTTACCTCACCGTGAACGTTAGCAGTAAATTAGTTTGCACCAGGGTACCGATTCTCAATCGTCAAGTCGATACGTAACGTCCCGACTTCCTGTAGAAAAGCAATGGGAAGTCGGTGTCGATAGGTTGCGACTAGAGGTTGAGAATCGGGGGGGAAAATATAAACCGTATCCTACGTATTAAGAGCACTTGGCAACACCGCAAGTGTCCCAGGCGTCAGCTTTCTGTTCTCTTCGCATGATTTTTATCACCATCTGTAAGGAGGTCGTTTCCTGTTTCATTTTCTGTTTGGAACACTGCCCCAATACAGCGAATGCTTTATCTATTTCTATAAGTTCCGGGTACCTATTTGTATAAAGTATAGTTGGACACTCTTCGCCATTTTTTTATTCAATTGCGCAACCAGGATTACTTTGACCGTTTAGGTTTCGTGCAAACCGTCTGTCAGGAAATTTTAAATATGGCGTGGCGGCCAAACAAGTTTATTTTTTGTATTGGTGTTTTTATCTTAGGATTCTTAGGGGATAGTGCAGTTTGCGTATTTTTTCCATTTTGTTTGCAAGTTTCATTATTTAATAAACTATTTGTTGACTACAACTGTTAAATAACCTAGTAAGTCGCGGGCAGAGAAATATCTAGTGTGTAAAATGGCGAATAAGCGGACAACATCATGTCTTTAATTATACTTATATGCAGTGAGATTCTGTTTTAGGATTCAATTTTGATCCCGATTTTGATACCGATTTTGACTGTATTTACGAGAGTCGTTGAATTTGCGATTTTATATTGTCCGATTAATTAGCATTCGCCAATGGGTTTCGGGCGGCACGTGACCACATTGGAGGTATTTGGAGGTAACATAACCTAGGATAGTATATGTAGACTAGGCTCAAAATACCCTCGCATTGTGCCGTTGTAGGATGTGAAAATACCGCCGAATATACAGTATGAACGAAAATAAATAGCTTTATAAACTATTACAGCAAATCAAACAAAAATATAACTAAAACAAAAACACAAAAAATATCAAAAGAAGAAAGCATGACACTCCATCAACTTCATATAAACAAATAGGATAAGGTTAGGTTGTCTTACCTCCAGTGTCAATTTAGTGACGTCACGTGCACGAAACCAATAGTCGGAAAAAAAAATTTGATTGGTTAGCCTGACCATACATACCTTTTATGTAAACGATAAAGTGTAACATTGCAGAAAGGCCCATTCTCTAGGCTCCCTCGCTTTTCTCCAAAGATGTAGAGACTCGAAAGTCGTTCCGAAATTCCTGAAGATTCGAAGAAAAAGTACCCAGCGGAACGAGCCTTGCATCGGGAACGGATTCACCAAACCAGGAATGACCTAGCAGCTATGGACAAGGATCTTCTATCGATTAACCAAAGGTTATCTAATAGCATGCACTGGAGTGACTGGGACAAAATTGACCGAATGACGTATGACGTGATGGAAGCCACACTAGCGAAAACTACCAAGAAACTGGTAAACAAGTTTGAGTCCTTGTAACCAGTGAACACTGCGAAACCCACAGACAATGATCGCACAGTTGTCAACCTGACCCAACGCGTTCTGACTGATTCGGAAACCAGTGTTCTAAGAAAAGGAGGCAATTTTGCAATAACACCGAAAGACCTGCAATTCGAAGACATCATAGCAAATGTGAAAGCCACCATACGCACATTACCTCAAACCACTGCGGAGGAAATACGCAATGAAACCTCTAGGATTCTACGACTTGCGAAACCTCCAAAGTGCAACCTGACATACGAGGAAAGGAAAGCTATCCGCAGCCTGAATACAGACAAAAACATACTGGTCCTGCCTGCGGATAAAGGAAACGCAACGGTAATCATGAACGTGACTGACTATGAATCAAAAATTTCCGAACTCCTAGACCCCTCCACCTACAGAAAGCTGAAGAGCAATCCCACTGCTTCTATATTGCGAAAAACCAATCAACTCGTCCGATCACTACCGTTGGACCCGGAAAACATAATAAAACTCATCAAATCTGAGGCCTTATTACCTAGAATATATGGGCTTTTTAAGATTCACAAAACAGGCAACCCACTCAGGCTCATTGTAAGTCCAATTGATTCGCCCACATACAGCATAGCCAAATACCTCACCACCCTACTTCAGCCACGGATTGGCCAATCCAGCTCTTATGTTAAAGACTCAACTCATTTCATCAAAAAGATCAGTGACATCACTCTACTACCAAACGACATTCTGGTTAGTTTTGATGTCTCATTGTTTACTAAGGTGCCAGTGAATCAGGCCTTAGAGTATCTGAAAGATGTTTTTCCAGAGTAAATCAACAACTTATTTCACCACTGTCTGATGACTACATATTTCCAATGGCAAAATGAATTCTTCGAGCAGACAGATGGAGTCGCAATGGGGAGTCCACTCAGCCCGGTTATCGCCAACTTCTACATGGAGCACTTCGAAGAAATGGCACTGCGAACGGCCACAAAGAAACCTACTTGTTGCTTTTGCTATGTAGATGACACATTTGTTGTTTGGAACCATGGAGGGGCAGAGCTCGAAAACTTCCTTGATCATCTAAACTCAATAGAACCCAGGATACAGTTTACGATGGAAGTTGAGAAGGACAACAAAATTGCATTCCTCGACGTCCTCTTAGAAAGATTAACCTCAGGTAAACTGAGTCACAGAGTATATAGGAAGCCAACGCATATGGACAGATACCTCAACCAGGAATCCAATCACCATCCTAGACAAAAGAGAGGAGTCATTAAAACTCTATCTGACAGGGCAATCTGGATTTGTGAACCCAGATACCTTCAGGACGAGATGCAACAACTAAAATAAGCACTTGAAGGAAATGGGTACTCCAAGCAGGAGATAAATAGAGCCATAAGACCAAAGCAACAGCGCACAAATAACAAGGAACCAGCACAGGTGGCAGGGGGAGAGCCTTTCTTCCCTATATCAAAAATGTCACAGATCGCATAGGACGAACGCTAGAAAGACACAACGTTAAGCCTATCTACATGCCCACAAA